TGAACTATTTATAAAAAAAAATAAAAACCTAATTAAATAAGGACTCTATTTGCTGTAAATCTGTCAAAACGCGGTTGGGTCGACGGACCTCATGACGGATCATCATGGTCACAACGGGCCGTCATGGACTCCATCGTCCCATACTTGTGCAATTTCTTCTGCTTCTTTCTTCATTACCCTCGAGGGAAGGTATGATGGATCGTTACAGGCACAACGGTCTGTCGGGGGTCTCTGTTCCATAACACTTGAACTCTTGAAAATTGGGTACTAGGACTACTTCTCTGATCTTCATGACGAACCAGCAGGATGGACTGTCATGGCTACGACTGTTCGTCACGCACTCCGTACCCCCACACTTGGTCAGACTTCCCCATCTTCCTTTAGCAGCTGCACTACGATGCCACCTACGGACCGTCACAAGCTCCGTAGGTGGTACTATTCTGCATGTCTTGCTCAAAAACCTCTGCATTTATCTTTTAGACAAATTTCCTGCAAATAAAGAGAAACTTACATAAAAATTAATAAAAAAGGCTTTTGGACACACTAAACTTATGGAAAAAGCATTAAAAATACCGTAAAATCACGGTATATCAGTCAACATAGTTGGTAAAAGTTCTTGAATGGGAATTACATCAACAAGTTTAGATTTAGATGGACATTTTTGGCTAATAGGATGGTTCATTTGAGTTTTAAGGATTTTATTTTCAGTTTGTGTCGTAAGACATTTTGACAAAAGTTTGACTTTGATTTATATTTTAAGTAAACGTGCTCGAATGAAAATTAAGTCTAATTAGTTGGATGCGCAATGTCCTTATTGGTCTAACATGATGGTTGGATTGGATTTTAAGACTTTTATCTTAAGTTCATTGCATTAGGTGTTTTAACTTCGATATTTTGGCCAAAGTTTGACTTCAGCCAATATTCTTGGTAAATAGGATTGGATGAGAATTTTGTTAGTGTTGTTAGCTTTGGAAGGTTCTTTTTGGTCTATGAGGATATGTATTTTGGGTTTTGAGGCTTTTGTTTTGAGTTTGTATTGTCAGACGTTTACCTTTGATGTTTTGACCAACATTTGACTTTGTCAACATTCTTGATAAACATACTCATACGAGAATTTCATCAGCTTGGTAAGATCACAAAGATCCTTTTTCGTATAATAGATGGTTGGTTTTGGTTTGCAGGTTGTCATTTTGAGTTTGTGCCATTAAATGTTTCGACATTAAAATTTTGTCCATTGTTTGACATAGGCAAAAGTTCTTGGTAAACATGCTCAAATGAGAATTCATCACCGAGGTTAGATCCTTAAGGTCTTTTTTGGTCTAGTATCATGGCTAGTTTAGGGTTAGAGACTTTCATTTTTAGTTTGTGTCGTTATTTGTTCTAACATTGAAGTTTTAATCAAACCTTGATTCTAGTCAACATTCTTGGTAAACTTGCTCGAATGAGAATTCAATCGGCATGGTTAACTGCGGAAGCTTCTTTTCAAACTAGTAGGATAGTTGGTTCGGATTTAGAGGCTTTTGTTTTGACGTTGTACCATTAGGCATTTTACTTTTAAAGTTCTTGTCAAATTTGACTTCGATCAAAATTATTTCTAAACTTGGATGAGACTTATGTGAGCATGGTTAGCTCTGAAGGTCCTTGTTGGTCTAATAGGATGGTTGGTTAAGGTTTTGATGCTTTTATTTTGAGTATGTGGTATTGGCCATTTTAACTTTGAAGTTTGGCCAAAGTTTAACTTTGGTAAACATTCTTGGTAAATGTACTCAGATGAAAATTATGTCTACGAGGTTAGCTCCAGAAGGTCCTTTTTAATCTAGCAGGATAATTGGGTTGAAATTTGAGGCTTTCATTTGAGTTTTGATCATTAGACATTTTATTTTTGAAATTATGGCTAAATTTTGACTTCTGTCAACATTCTTAGTAAACATCTCAGATTAGAATTTCTTTAGAGCGATCAACTCTAGAAGGTACTTTTCTATCTAGTAGCATGGTTGGTTCAAATTTTTAGATTTTCATTTTTTTTGTGCTTTTAGGCGTTTTAATTCTAAAATTTTCACGAAATTTTGACTTCGATCATTATTCTTGGTAAACGTACTAAAACAAAAGTTTTATCGGCGAGTTAACTTTGGAAGATCCATTTTGGTTTGATAAGATGGGCATTTCATGTTTCGCGGCTTTTGCTAATGTTTCGTGTTAGAGAGCTGATTAAATACAAACTCGTTGAATTTCGATTGGAAATTCATCCATCACTATATTTTCATAGTTCGTCACATCGGCGCTACAAATCATCTAAATCAGAGAGCCACAAATCGCTACATGGACGAAATCTATAAATCGCCTAGATTGGACAACTACAGCTGAAGTAAAAATCCACATCAATTATAAATCCTCTAAATTTGCATTTCAAAATCTATAATACCCAAATTGGTGTGTCTAGCATATGTCTTATTATCCTTTCATCCTCTTTTTGTTGAAATGATTGCACGTGTTGCTTGTTTTGTGCTGAGGTAATTGTTGTGTAGACTATGATGCTTCTTTAAATTCTTGCACATTTTAATATGTATATTTATATTAATGATTTCATGACGTATCCATCTTTAAAACGATTAGCTATAATTATTTTGGACTCAATTTGTATTTTATAGTGCAAGAATATAATTCAAGAATCTAATTCTTTTTCGTAAAAATAGTCCAAATAAAAAGTTTGACTCTAAAATAATTCACCTTCCTAAAATATAGAGCTATACTCACGTCATTATTCATTTTATTTCTGGTTCAAATTGTTGCCCATATTCACACTTCATGTAGTTTTTTAAAGTGCAATTCATCTACCACTCTTGAATTCTTAGTTCTACGGTCCTTTCGGCTAGACATATGTATGCTTTATCACATTTATTCTTTTTTGTTTTATTTGATTAATTGTAAATCTTCTGACATGCTTTATTTTCTTGGTTGATATATAGTGTTTATAAAGTATGTGGTTGATGGGTTATTGACTTAATAGGATCGATTATAAACTTTTATTTTTGAATCTATTTGATAAAGAGATTTCTCTAATTAAGATACTTGTAAGTTGGTTGAGGAGTCACCCAAATTTGAAACTGATAGAGAAGAAATTTAAGATCACATAAGACGTAGAAGAACATAATATTTTTCATTGCCTTCATATGTTGAGTTACATGTTTTATGAAGTTTGGATTATACTAACCTACTAAAAAAGAAAGAAAGGAAGTTTGTGTAAAAACATATGTCCTTCTGGCTTGATTATATTGGACCTTTTTTTTTTAATTATTCAAATATGTTGATTGAAATGCTTTTTGTTAAAAATTAGTTGTTTCTTTATATGTTTTCTTTTACTTTTAACTTATAAATTTTAAGTTGACTGGACCAAATATATCAGTTCTCATTATTTAGAAATAATACTAGATTAATTACTTATTTGATTAGGACTTTGCTTGAATTATTTTAGGAGAAAAGGTTATTATTTTTCGATATATGTAACTTGCATACTTGGTGTAAAAAAAGAGTTCAAGTTCATTGTTTAAACAAATAAAATTCTTTTATGTTTCACTTTCTGTCATACAGCAAAAATTTTCTTTTCAATCCTCTACGTGGTTTTGTTTCACTATTTACCCTTTAACATTATCTAAAAAGAAGGTTTATAAGTACAATGAGTTAAAATCATCAATGTAAAAAATTAATGAAAGGTCTAAATGATTCTGAATTAGTATGGAGTATAGAACAATTTATTGAGTCCTCTATGAATCAACCAGAAGGGAGAGATGGTGAGAGACCAAGGTTCCATATAATCAGAAAAAAATTTAAAATAGAAATTTTGAAAATGTTCGTACTGTCTATGGACATATATTAAAAGAATATTTTATAGCGGGATATCATGTTTGATACTAACATGGAGAAAATAAAGTTGCGAGAAATATAGATAAAGATGGAAGAATGCACAATTGGGATCATACTAAAAATACCCTCCCAATAAATGTTAATGGATATGTGTCACGCCCCCAAACCTACACCCTGAACGTGGTCGACACTCGAGAATTATTGTTAGTCCCCTAGTGAATCTTTGTCTTGATCAATACTCACCGGAAGAATTACTCAACAGTATAGGAACTCAAATGCAAAGACTTAACTCAAATGTCTCTGATAGAATATGATAGAATCGATAATTCATGTTTTGATGATAGACAAGAAGCGCAAAGAACAGTAGCAAATGTACGCAGCAAAAGAAGTCAAGCTAGAGTCCAAGATCAAGTAAAATAGAGTTATTTGTCAAAGCCAAAAATAATATATTAAAGGTACAAGTTAATACAAATAAGGAAAACCTTAAATATATTATTAAGGAAGGAAGTTGTGTATAATAAGGATTGTAATTTAAAAAAGAATCCTTGTTTAAACATAACTTTCTTACCTTATCAGTAAAGATTGTACAAGGCAAAAACTCTATAAGAAGAGCACTAGGCAGAGGAAAAAAGACACGACTTCATGCAGAGAACAAGGGAGAATTATTCATCAAATTGAAGTGTTCAAGGTTGATAGGATTACTACGTTTAAAACATTCTTGAGTAAGAAGGTTTTATCGTGTAGAACTATTTGTCTTGTTTTTGTTCTTAATTGTAGTTTACAGTTTATTGTACAAAGGGTGGGTTTGGCTCTTTGTAGGGTTGAGTGTTAGTAAGAGTTGTAACAAAAGGTGGGTTTGGCCTTTTGGAGAGATCGATTGGAGTCAATCGAGGGAGTAGTAGAGATAAGACTTTTGATTATTGAGTTGTAATCACAAAATCTTATAGTTGAATTAATAAAACGAGGTTTTTCCTTCTTTGAGTGAGGAAGGTTTTTAATTCAATAAGTGTTTGTGTCTTTACTCTGTCTTTACTTAAAAGCAACTTACACGAACCTGGTTCGTGTTCTGGGGTAAGGTTTCTTCAATTGGTATCAGAGCAGGTCTTTTCGTTAAAAGATTCACACCTTGAAAAGACTCAATGGCAGCACCACCTACCCCACAAGAGGGAGCTTCACAAACACGACCACCACTGTTCAATGGCAAATATTATGGATGGTGGAAAAATCGTATGATGGACCATCTTATTGGTGAAAACCTTGATCTATGGGGAGTAATTCTAGATGGCCCAACCATACCTATGAAAACCGCAACTGATGGAATCACCAAAATCCCAAAGGAAAGAAATGAATGGAATGCTGAAGACAAGCTTGCAATCCAAAACAATGCCAAAGCCAAGAAAATTTTGATCTGTGGCATAGGACCAGACGAATACAATCGAATCTCGTCCTGTCAAGATGCCAAAGCCATATGGGAAACACTACAAACCGCTCATGAAGGAACAACACAAGTCAAGAAGTCCAAAATTGATAACTGGAACAGGCAATATGAGCTGTTCAGGATGGCAGAAGGGGAGACTATTCAAGACATGCACACCAGGTTCACCTCCATCATCAATGAGATGTACTCCTTGGGAGAGATAGTTCCTAATGGAAAGGCAGTAAGGAAACTCTTGAGTGTCCTTCCTGAAACTTGGGAAAGTAAAGTCGATGCTATCACTGAAGCCCGCGACCTAGACTCACTGGCCATGGATGAGTTGATTGGTAATCTCATCACATACAAACTCAAGAAAAACCAAGAAAAGGAAATTGGATGAAAAAGGAAGGAAATGAACCTGGTTCTAAAGGCTACTACATCAGATGATTTTGAAGATGAAAATATTGCCCTCATAACCAAAAGGTTCACCAGAATGCTAAAGAGAGGGCAGACCTTTCAAAAGAAAACTTCTCAAAAACCATCTGAAAACACTAAAGACCAGGTTTGTCATAAGTGTGGGAGCCCAGATCACTTCATAAAATTATGTCCACTTTGGGCTTTAGAGCAGAAAAAGGCAAACTTTGAGAAGGGGCAAGACATCAAGAATGATAAGTACATTCCCACAAACAGAAGAATGACCAATCAAGAAGCGGATCTTTCAACGAGAAGAGCCTTTGCCGCTATGGGGGACTTATCTGAAGAAGAATTTGAGGATGAAGGGTTCGAAAATCAGTCACTACTTGCAATAGAACAATCAAATAAATATGATTTTCTTGCACTCATTGCTGAAACAGATTCTGGAGATGATAAAGAAGATGAAAATCAAAGCAAGGTAAGTTTTCATCACATCAAAGTAAATATTGAATCATATTCTAAAAAGGAACTAGAGTCCTTATTGAGTACTCTTATAGATGCATATCAGTCTGTCAATTCTGAAAGAGAACAAGTGATGGAAAACTATGCATATTTAAGAGAAGTCAATGACAATCTTGAGAAACACAATCACTTTCTTCAAAATAAATTAAAAGAACAGATTAAAATCTCAGAGTTAAGTCACAAGGGCAAAAACTCTGCTAGTGAACTTCAATTAGCTCTAGAAGAAAAAATAAAATTGTTAACCATAAAATATCAAGCTTTAACAGAAAGGAATAGGTTGTTACAAGAAAATCTTGATCATAACAAACTGGATCTGGAAAGAAAGCTTAGATGGACCAGGTCCTGTGAAATTTTAACTCAGATTCAAGAAAAGCAAACCACTAGTCGAAGTGGGATAGGTTATAAAAAACAGAATAATCTTGTGTCACACACTTTTCACATACCTACAAGTTTATGCACTCATTGTGGAAACTCAGGTCATTTAAAGAATCAATGTAAAGCTTTATTTGAGGTTTTTCAGAAAAATGCTAAGTTCACCAAAAAGGAAAAGACTGATACGGCTAAGAACCTGGTTCGAAAGAAAAATGCTTCAAATAAAAGGTTTTCTTATTTGCCTTTATGGGCTAGAAGAAATCTTATTCATCCTTTTACCCACGTAAAGGGGCCCAAGCTAATCTGGGTTCCCAAGACTAATCTTTGACTAGTGCTTCAGGTGAAGGTGAGAGGGAAAAGACCAACTTGGTACATGAATAGTGCATGCTCCAAAATGGTGCTAAAAATGGTAGAAAATTTCCTCTCGCTCTTTGATTTTCAAGGAGGCAGTTTATTCCTTGAAAAAGATGAGAAAAATGAAAAAAAAAGGTTGAAGAAAGTGACATGATATCAAACATCTTTGATGAGGCAAATTTAGGGAACACTGCATATGAACCTGGTTCACAGCTAACAATCATTGATGCACCTGCAACATGAATTACTACTTATTTATGGTTCGGGAGATTGGATGAACATTAGAGCAATCGAGACAGTAAAAGTATGGCGCACCTTTGGGGGAACTTTGTTGTGTGAACATGGTCCTTGTTGTTCATTGGAAAGTATTAAAAATTGACAAGGGCTGGTTCTCTGTGAATCAGCTTGAGATTCATTTGATCTGGGAGAATATGATGATTCGACATTCTTGTGAAGGCCTTGAATATGAAGAACTTGAGAAAAATCAGTCAAAGCATGGTGTTATCGAAACAAGTTGATGCATTATCATGATTTCCTTTAATAATTGGCTAGTAAAAGAATAATCTTACGCTTGAGTAATTATACAATGAATATCTGCTAACTCAACCTCGTACTGTAACAGGTACACACTCAAGTCACATCTCAAACAATGCTTAGAAAGTTTGCGGATGTTATCTCTACTCTTTGCCAACACCATTAAGTAAATCATGAAGAAACACAAAAAAAAGAAGGGGGAACCTGGTTTCTCTGTAATACTCAGGTATGTACCATCCTTTTTCAATGCATTAATTTCTTGAGTTTGGGTCAAACATAAGCACTAATGAACCTGGTCGATCATCAAAAATTCAACTTTCTTAAAGATCACCAAGAACCCTCTTTGACAATAAGAATCGTTCAATCTCAAACTGCTCTAATGATGAAAATCTCAGTATTGAAGTCACTTATGCTTTAATTTAGGGGGAACCTTGCTTTACCACCCACATCTGAACCAGGTTCACAAACTCCAAATTGATATTTCATCCATTCCAAATGTATAACTTGTCTATCTCTCAGGGGGGACAATTCTCACAGAAATAAATTGTTGCTTGCTTTCATTATTGATAAACACATCTCTTTGTGCACCAAAAAGTGATGAATCTCTTATTGGTAGTTGGTACTCCTTCAAAGTTGTCATCAAGAAAAAGGCTATCAAAAAAAAATCATGGAGGAATGAAAATGTTACGGAGTGGAGTTAAAAAAAAAAGGTGATGATGTATCTCATGTTTCTCTTGATGAAATTTCACATTCTAAGAAAACTGATCAGAATAAAGAAGCTGGTGCACAATGGGCATACTGAAAATAAAATAAAATTATCAATGGCAGTAAACATCCCTTTCTTCCTCACTTTATTAATCTTTGTCACAATCCTTATCCTCAAATTTTATACTCTTTTGACTCTTTGATGTGCTTATGTCTGTCTCATACTCATGATATTATATGTTTTTGATTAAGGGCATAAACTGGTACATATTTGTTTATTTCGTTTCTCATTGAAGATCTTAATTATGTATGAGTGTAAGATGACTAATTTCCTCAGATTAACTAACCATTTTGTTAGCAGAAGTGTACTTGAAAGTGCTGCCCAAGTGGCTATGAGTTAAAAATGATATTGCACTCATTGAATGTTATTCGAGTTCTTTGGTTATTGATTTTCAATGATTCCAAAAGGGGGAAATTATATAATGTGGATAGACATATGCATAGTTTGTCATCATCAAAAAGGGGGAAATTCTTGGTGAATGACAAAACATGAAGTTTGTAGTTTTGATGGATGACAAAGAATTGAAGTTTTTTTGAAAATCTGTTAACTAGAGTGTTTGAGGCATTTGAAGTACCATTGGGAGAAGGCAGGATTTTAACTTGTGCAGATATGTTCACTCAAACCATTCTTGCTGATTGTGGCATTCCCATGGAATCGGAGCAGGTTGCAATTGTGTCTCCACGTACATCTGGTCATGTTGCTCAGTTACTCAGGGAACTTAAAGTAGCTGAAGAAAAGTATGCCACTCTTGAGTCAGAAAACCAGAAGTTACGTGCTGAACTTGACACTTTAAATGCTGAAATTCACAGGTTGAAGGATCAGTTAGTGCAGCAGCAACTTGCTAACAATGCAAGAGTTGACAGAGTTCTGGATATGCTGGCTTCTGCTTCAACTAAGCCTGGTCAACTTTCACATTGAAAAAACATCTTGTTTGAACCTGGTTCTCTTAGTTGTTTAAACTTATTATGCTCAACTGGCTGGGCTTATATTGTTGCTATGGATGTTGATTGGGTTTGTTTAGCCGCTGTTGGACTCTTTTTGATTTGTCAAAAGGGGGAAGAGTATTTGCGCATGCATCACACAGAAAGATTTGTTTGTCTTCATCAAAAAGGGGGAATATGATAAAATATGATAGAATCGATAACTCATGTTTTGATGATAGACAAGAAGCGCAAAGAACAGTAGCAAATGTATGCAGCAAAAGAAGTCAAGCTAGAGTCCAAGATCAAGTAAAATAGAGTTATTTGTCAAAGCCAAAAATAATATATTAAAGGTACAAGTTAATACAAATAAGGAAAACCTTAAATATATTGTTAAGGAAGGAAGTTGTGTATAATAAGGATTGTAATTTAAAAAAGAATCCTTGTTTAAACATAACTTCCTTACCTTATCAGTAAGGATTGTACAAGGCAAAAACTCTATAAGAAGAGCACTAGGCAGAGGAAAAAAGACACGACTTCACGCAGAGAATAAGGGAGAATTATTCATCAAATTGAAGTCTTCAAGGTTGATAGGATTACTACGTTTAAAACATTCTTGAGTAAGAAGGTTTTATCGTGTAGAACTATTTGTCTTGTTTTTGTTCTTAATTGTAGTTTACAGTTTATTGTACAAAGGGTGGGTTTGGCTCTTTGTAGGGTTGAGTGTTAGTAAGAGTTGTAACAAAAGGTGGGTTTGTCCTTATGGAGAGATCGATTGGAGTCAATCAAGGGAGTAGTAGAGATAAGACTTTTGATTATTGAGTTGTAATTACAAAATCTTATAGTTGAATTAATAAAACGAGGTTTTTCCTTCCTTGAGTGAGGAAGGTTTTTAATTCAATAAGTGTTTGTGTCTTTACTCTGTCTTTACTTAAAAGAAACTTACACGAACCTGGTTCGTGTTCTGGGGTAAGGTTTCGCCAGTCTCAAATACATAACTCAGAATATTTAGAAAAAATCCAACTGGCCGAAAGAGAAAACTTAAGTCTTAATCATTAAACAATGGAAATGCAAAGACTCTCAAAACACTATTGTCAATGAAGACTCTAATAACCATGAGGGAAATTGGGTAAGATCCACAACCTCCTAACAACACTAAAAATACATATGGAACCCTCTGAAACAAGGAGACTCACCAAAGCAACTCTGGAGCTGCAAGTGGTATCAATGGAGCGCATGTTGATGAACCTAATTTCTTGTATTTGTGTCATGAAAGTTGCAGGCCAAATAACATCAGTACATAGAATGTACAAGCATGCAAGAGGAACTCTAAATCACATATATAAGTTTGAACATGATAAAAAGGGAAGCATGTACTCACTTCATCTGGACTCAACTCTAGGATACTTAAAGATATTCAAACTCAGAAATACACAACTCAGTTCAATATAAAAGCAACAATAGAGATGCATTATAAAGAAAGCTTTTAAAACAGTAGATAAAAACTCAATGTATTTAAAAATATAACATAACAACTCTTTTACTCTTAATTGAGATATTCTCTAACCGACAATCATCACTTTGAGTTATGTGATGATACAATGGCTCGTCCACGCTGTCATAATTGTCCTATAACTTGCCGGAGTATAAGACATTCTCAACTAAATGAATCCACTAAGCTATGCTTAAAATCAATAAGAAATCATCTAAAAAGTATGACCCTTTACCCATGTTGGCATACAGGATTTATGAGAACTTTGAGTTGTGTAAACTCATCCCTATATCGGTGTGGAATACTACTCCCAATAATATAACTCATGCTCATACGTTTAAAAATATTTTTTCATCCTCAAACTTGAAGATTATTGCTGAAAAGGTTCTCTTAAAAGAGATCGTGCTCAATAACTCCTCATGAACTAATTTGGAAATCAAAGTTTCCTTCTCATTTTAAATGCAAAACATTTAGTCTTGGTAATACTTAGTTCCCTTATAGTCATTTTATACTCAAGTATTCAAGTCTTAAAATAAGTTTTAAAACTTTTCTAAAGACTTCTCAAAATGACTCAAAAAACTCCCTCGAACTTTACTCTAAACTCAATCTTGAATTTTAAATGTGAATTCAAGAATTATGATTTGGATATATAAGGTTTCTCATTGTTTTGATGTAGTTTGATGATTAAAATCACGAAAAGAGTGAAAATATGTTTTAAAGTAACTTAGACGGAACGAACGATGAAAAATGAACGGGAGTAGGCGGCCCTAGCGCAGAGCGCCAACCCTATATAAACTGCAGCTAGTTTCTGGAGCACTGCAAGTATGGCACGCCAACCCTTCTTTCGTATCAGTGGTGTTTAGCGCCACCCTCCCCAAAATGTTATGGAAAATTTCTATTCTTGATTTTATGGCCCTAATTCACCTAAAATCGTTTGATTTCTTTCAAAATCGATTAGATTTGTATGCCCCACATAAATAAATGAAAATCTACTCAAATCTCTTCCAAAACAATCCTCAAAATCAAACCCTCGCCTCAAGAACTTATCAAACTCCAATAATAAATATTGAAGAACGACACTTCGAAAAACTCATCAAGAACTTTAATACACAGATTTCATGGACGAATTTGATAAAGGAACTTATGATTTTTGTGAGGGTGAAGTAATATGTCACTAAGCCTACACTCTGGACGGGACTGGCACTCGAAGACCATTACTGGCCTGGAGCGGACCCTTAACCTGTCTTACTTACTCAGCGAAAGATTTAAATACAAGAGATAACTTTTAAAAATTACTTAAAAGAAGTAACTTACCCAAAGTGGCAAATCATGTTTTAAATGTTTAAAACTGAAATGAATAAGACTAAAGAACTAGTACTATCTTTCTATGAAGAATCTAAAACAAAGAGGGTTGTTGGTACATGAACCCCAATCATCCTAACAATTGAAAACTAGAAAGAAAGTGATAAAAGAAGTCCTCTGGAATGTAAAGAGGTTTGCCAACTGACTCTAAGTTGCTCACTCGATCAACGGTACCCCAGAGGCCAGTCCTACTTACCTGCGTCTTCATCATAAGACGATATAGGCACCCCGGCATCATCACATTGAATGTACAAGTATGCGGGTTGGAATGCTAAACACAACTTAAGCTTGAAAATAATATGAAGGAAACACTTACCTTGGATTTTGTCAACTCATAAATAACTTAACTTGATATGAAGCAATAAGACATATGCTATATATATAAATCTTGTAAAACAGTGGAAAACAACTTAGTTCGTTAAAGAAAATGCAATAACAAACTCA